CACCACAGTGGGAAGCAGCTCCCAGGCACTTTTTGGAGTCTCTAAAGCAGCTAAGATGCCCCCCTCAACACCACTTGGAACCTCCTCTCCTCTAGGAAACATACCTCTCCTCCCCTTCCATTCTCTTCTTCCCACCTTCCAGTAGGGGGCGCTTCCAAGTGCAAGAAGGGAGGACCCACTCACTGCCACTACTGCCCACTTGGGGGCCAGAGGAACTCCAGGGCTGCTTCTGCCCTGCTTCAGCTGGGGGCTTCAGTAAGCAGCAGCATAAGGACACAGGTGCACAGTGCTGGGGAGGCCTGGGAACAGTGGTGTCAGTGCACGATCTTCCCCTTCTAGGTGCTCATGCTTCTTACCTACCTCTTGGATGTCCCTTGCAGTACAGGAGCAGGCACTGGCAGTAGGGGGTTGTCCACTGATAACTCTGTCCTCAGCCCTGCCTGGCTTTCAGTTCAGATGTTTGTCCAGCTGAAGCCTCCTGGCCAGAGGAGGAAATGCAGTGGAAGGGGAGGGAGCAGGGACCTGGCAACCTGTGCAGCTGCCAGCTCCCAGCTGGAGTGGGACAGGATTGTTCCTGGGTCTTCCCCTGCCCCCCAGGTCAGCTGGGGTGCCCCCTTCCTTACTCCCCATTCGGTCCTCCTGGGTGTCCCACTCCCATCTGAGGCTTCAGCCATGCCTTGGACACCACAGGGGATCCAGGCACCCAGGGCCATAGGGAAATGGAGCCACCAGCACACTATCTTTACTGCTGATACCTCTTGAAGGTAAATACCTACATCCTTTAAAAACTGAAGTGGGAATGACTCCTTAAAAAAGAAAAAGAAAAAACAAGGAGAAACAATGTCAGACATGTGATTCTTCAAGGATCATTTCAGTAGCCATTGGGTGCATCTACACATGTCTTTTACTGCAGAGTAGACTAATTTGCTCCACAGTAAAGCATCACCATCTACACATGCACTGCAATTAGGCCAGAGTAAATTAATCTACTCTGTAGGATAGTCCCGTCAGATACAAATACTATCTGATACCGTGTAGATGGTGATGTGGGTGTAAATTGTGCCCAGTCAGCTGGGCCAGCAGGGAGCCAGCAGGGGTCCCTGACCTAAACTGTTCCAGTTTGCTCAATTTGCTCCTATTACTGGGTGCATGTGTAAACACTGCACCCAGAGTAGTTAACTTGGGTTCAAATTGCACCAGAGTAAATTCAGTTGCATTAATTGCATGTGTAGATGTGCCCATTGGATAAAATATTCAAATAGTACTTGAAGAAGGAACTGGAAGCCAGGTCTCTCCTCTTCTTTTGAGCACCCTACCTACTGGGCTATGAAGTTATCCTCCCATGTTGTATTCCCTCTTTCTGACCTTGAACTATTTTTTACATTGTGTTAGAGATTCTGGGAGGGTGGAATGTACTCTTCCCTGGAACAGCTTATGAGTTGGTAGTTAGGACACTGTTATGGGAGATGAGAAAGGTGAGTTTGAATCCATTCAGGCAGAAGATACAACTGTTCCTGGCTCTCCCAAAGTGTGGGCAAGTGCTCTAACCACTTGTATAAAAAGAAAGAAAACTATAAAACCCCACCCTTGGGTTTTAAAAGAAAGCAGATGTCTCCATGATATTTTATGAGGAACCCAATTCTGTCAGTGTGTGTTGTGTGTACTCTGTGTATACCTGCTGGATTGAACCCCCCAGGAGAGTTAGGCAGAGGAATCCAATCAGGCTTAGGTGTAAGATAGGTACTGAGCTGCTAACCCCTGTGAAGACAGAGGCAATTCAGTACGAAGGCTAGAGTGTCCCCCTCCCCAGAATAACATATAGATTGAGCA